AAAATCAATTTAGTGAAAGACTATGATTTCCAAGTCCCAATTATCAAATCAATGAGGTATCAGTTTCACCACATGTGCACAGACCGCCTATACTTATATATATATTTTTTCATAACTATTCTCCAGTTAAAGTCCTATCCTCTTATCAAATAATCTGTGAGAGTGATCATCATTAACGAAAATCATTCTCATCAAAGAATACAGAACAAATGAAGAATCAGATGCATACATGTATTGCCATGCTTCATTCATCACGAAGCAGATTTACATACATTTGTGAATAGCACTTAAACTTTTACCATTGTCCATATTAACATAATAATATATACATATGTTATATATACAGTGTTATTGGCTAATTACTTCATTATCGGCGATCATACCTACATATTATTGATGCAACATACACACATGACATTACTGAACAATCACCAACCACAAACGTGCAACATAATTAGGTATTTCGGAGTATATCGCTTGAAAACCAGAAAGTGGAGCTGTGTGTAAGCGTTGGTTAAAGTAGGCCTCTTCTCACCATACTCTCAACAGTCTCATAAGTGTTCGGTCCGACTTGGCCCGAGCTGTCAAAATCAACTTAAACCTCACAGATGTATATTCAAATGTATTCACACCTATAGATTAGTATTATATCTACCTAAATATCTCTTTATAGTGTCTCAGATCGCGGTTTGTAAAGGAAACAAGGTGCTCAAAGTGAAGCCCTTTTCCCTCTACATTCTTAACATAGTCTCTATCAGAAGTGTTTGGCTTGTGCTCGGTCCGACTTGGCCCGGGCTGTCATAATCAACTTTAAACACACAGATGTATCATCAAATGTATTTACATCTATAGATCAGTGTTATATCTACCTATATACCACTTTTTAATGCCATAGTGTACCGCATTTAAAGAAAACTGAACCGTTAAAGTCAAACACTTTTACTGTATTTTCTTAAGAAAATCTCTGTCAGGAGTGTTGGGTCCGACTTGGCCCGAGCTATCAAAATCAATTTAAACCTCACAGATGTAACATGAAATGGGTACACATCTATCGATTAGTATTTTATCTACCTATATACCACTTTATAGTGTCTCAGATCGCGGTATTTAAAGAAAACAAGGTGCTGAAAGTGAAGCCCTTTTCCCTTTACATTCTCAACATAGTCTCTTATCAGAAGTGTTAGGCTTGTGTTGGGTCCGACTTGGCCCGGGCTGTCAAAATCAACTTTAAACACACATATATATCATCAAATGTGTTTACATCTGTAGCTTAGTATTATATCTACCTATAAACCACTTTATAATGTCACAGTACATCGTATTTAAAGAAAACAAGGTGCTGAAAGTGAAGCCCTTTCCCCTCTACATTCTCAACATAGTCTCTATCAGAAGTGTTTGGCTTGTGGTGGGTCCGACTTGGCCCGGGCTGTCAAAATCAACTTTAAACACACAGATATATCATCAAATGTGTTTACATCTGTAGCTTAGTATTATATCTACCTATAAACCACTTTATAATGTCACAGTACATCGTATTTAAAGAAAACAAGGTGCTGAAAGTGAAGCCCTTTCCCCTCTACATTCCCAACATAGTCTCTATCAGAAGTGTTTGGCTTGTGGTGGGTCCGACTTGGCCCGGGCTGTCAAAATCAACTTCAAACACACAGATATATCATCAAATGTGTTTACATCTGTAGCTTAGTATTATATCTACCTATAAACCACTTTATAATGTCACAGTACATCGTATTTAAAGAAAACAAGGTGCTGAAAGTGAAGCCCTTTCCCCTCTACATTCTCAACATAGTCTCTATCAAAAGTGTTTGGCTTGTGGTGGTTCCGACTTGGCCCAGGATGTCAAAATCAACTTTAAACACACAGATGTATCATCAATGTAGAGGGAAAAGGGCTTCACTTTGAGCACCAAGTTTTCTTTACATACCGCGATCTGAGACACTATAAAGTTGTATATAGGTAGATATTATATTATTTTCTCTTGGAACATCTATAAGATGTACAGCTACATGTATTTACCAAAAGAAAGAATCTACGTTTTTACTTCATTAAATAAAAATTCACTCATTGAACATCTCCAACAGTTTTGTCCATGTTGAGATCCACTGAAATGGTTAGTTCACTTGTTACATTTATATAGAACAGAACGATATTTGTGATTAAATATGATTGTGGAATCACCTTGGCTATATTTTAAAATTCAACAATAGCTTGCGTGTGGTTTGTTTGGAAGCATAAAATCAACTATTGTTTGTAAAAACCATTTGTGTGTGTTAATATATATGGGTTTTTTAAAGGAAGAGGTGTTTGAACAAATAATTATTTGTGTGTTTACAAACCCCTATCATGTAATTATATTTTCCTGAATAACATGTTGTTTGCATGTAAAATTAATGTCCCTGTTCACCTATGTAGAAAATCAATAAGCGAAATAAAACTGAGTAACAGACTGTGTATTATAGATCGATAGAAATACGATTGCATAGACGATCAATTCAGAATACAACAGGTGTGGCGAAATGTATTTTGCAGGTAACGATCAATAAACATTGTGACAGAAAAACAAGTGAAGGACTGAGATGAATTTTAGTCCGTGGTTTCTGTGGATGAAACTAAGTTTGACAATGTTGCAAATGATCACTTTCTTTGACTTCATTACGGATTCCTCAACCTGTATCGAGGAGAATTGTTTACAGTTAAGTAAAATTCTAATTAAGATTTTTTAAAGCTGTCACGGTGGCAAATTCAAACTTCGATATCATGGTACACAGTTCTATTGTAAAGTCAGATTGGGAGTTCGAGATGGCGCTATGTATTTTTATCTCGAATTTGAAATAAGCGGTTAAATTTATATGTTTTGTTTGTTTTTGTTTTTGTTTAACGCCACACTCAGCAATATGCCAGCTATATGACGGAGGTCATGCAAATAATCAAATCTGGAGCTGACAATCCAGTGATTGACATCACGAGCATCATTCCACACAATTGGGATAAGATGACATGCATCCAATCAACCAAGTCAGCGAGCCTGACAACCAACCCGATCCCATTAGTCGCCTCTAACGACAACCACAGTCACCTTTTAATACAAGCATTGGTTGCTGAAGATCTGTTCTAACCATGATCTTCACAGGTCCAAATCTATATGTATTTTTATGGTGAGGCGGTCGTGATCGGAGAATAGGTTCGAGAGTTCGGTACACACATTCGTGGTCAATATCTCTCATGTTGTGGATGATAGGGATTTTGTCATGTTTTGAAGAAATGTCATCACTGTCATGCTTTTGATGGTACACAAAACGTAAGCTTTACCTCGAACATGCTAGTTCCGGTCACAAAATATATGCTTTACCTTTTACTGATTTTTGTATTAATAACATTACAACGTTTCTCAAGGTTACAGACTCCAAGGATTCATTACAGTGTATTTTAAGCCCCTAAAATTGACAACTAACACCCTGATCGCAAAACTCCTAACGGTTTTTACTAAAAATAGATACGAAAACTTTTGTTGAACCCGAGATTTGAATGACTGACAAATACGTACTTTCTTGTGTTCTCATACATAAAACAGCAGTGAAAACATGATCTAACATGGCTTAATGTGAGTAGTATAGTCTCAGTCCGCAGAAACCTTTTTTGGTTGAGGGAGGTTGAGTGAAAATAGGGAAGGTGATTGGCTGATCCAAGTCACGTGATCGGATAGGATGACTCATGGATCAACAGAACGTCACAGGTGTGGGGGAATGAAAGATGTGTGTTTAAAAGGCAGAAAAGAATTCGTAAGTAAACAAAAGCAAAGGGTATTCAATAGAGCTATGTGTGTGGCGTGCTGCCCTGAATACACTCTAAATCTATGTGTTCTAATATAGAACACTGGACGCGTCCATACGTTCTGCCACAGAATACGAATGTATTAATTCGTGCAGCACGTGTTCTATTGCTGAACGCCTGTGATCTGATGTAGAACGCGTGTGTTCTCTCCTGGGAGAAGTCCATGCACATTAGCAGAGATTATGTGCTGAATGCTGTTAGACAAATTTAAATTCGACCATCATATTTGTGTTTTCGGAATATTTATTTTTGAGAAGAAGAGAGGCTGGTAGATTGGTATGTCAAACAGAAAATGTGTATAAGAAGGGTTATATTTTGAGTTTGATGAATAATAAATAGTTTATAAACATGGCATACTTTGTGTTAATAATAACTCATATGTAGCCTGAATAAATACAACAAGTAACATTACTGAAATACATCTCATTGCTAATACATGGAAATAACTTGCTTGCATTGGGGACATTTACGTGTATCAGAACACTGGCATTCTGATGGCTAATTTTAGCTGGATCTTTAATGGGTGCTCTGGAACATATACGGTCTATTTGCTGAACGCCTGCATTCTCTCCTAGAACGCGTGTGTTCTGCTGTGTTCTATAATGTTATATGCGAGAACACGTGTTCCATTAATAGAACATCGGTGTTCTGTTTTTCTAACAAGCATTCAAAGCTGTCCATGCTCTGTGATTCACATCCGTTATGTGAGAAACTGGCGTGACGTCGCATGTATTTGGCGCTACAATTTCCTATGATCTGAGGTGTGTCTGTGGTAAGTATCCATCTAGGAATACTTTTGTTTCATATTTAATACGTACCTAAAATAATGTAATATTTCGGCGATATATTCATATGCTGATCGCAAGCGAAGTAAAACCGGCCCCTTACAAAACGCATAGCAGACGACATATTACTCGCCATTTTGACCGTCATTTCTGCCATTGTTCCACGCGCTTTATTTATAAATTATGAGATGAAATTCCAATCCAAATTGCAAGTGTCACTATTTGAACGTTTCCGTTTATTTGAATGATGTTCAAATAAAATGAATATATATTTCAGGTTCTATATGAATTGCCTGAAAGTTCGAAGCAGGCTACATGCAACAAATTTCTGAACATCTAAATTTGGGATCCGAGGGCATGATCAGCAAAACATCGACAACGCATCGAAATCAGCAGAGAGTAGTGTAAGTATGTAATGAACAAAAAGAACTAAACCTTCACAGGACATGTTTTGGCTATTTTATGTGAAATATTTTAGAGAATCAGTCTTGTTGTTTCTATTTCAGGGTGCATTGCAGATAATCAGTACCATCCATGGAAATTATTGCACAGGGCACACGTCTACACAAAGGAGGAAAAGACACAAGGTTTTGCAGATCAAATAAGAAGGTACTTGTGTATATTTTGCCCTAACCTTTATCCAAGTAAGTGGTAACTTTGTTAGTCAAATGACATTTTTGGCAAAACATTTTGCAACCTATAAATAATGAAACAAATGTCACGGTAATCTTGGGTTTACTAACGAACATTTGTTAGAATGTCCTATGTAATATGTACGAGTTTGATAACTATATGACTATGATCAAATAAATGTTTTGTGTTGTAGGATGTTGGGGAGTCATTTTTGACATGAAGTTTCCTGAAGCCTGCGATGGTCATGTCGCTGTTACGAACATCGTCCTTTGGGGATATTTACCCACAAGAAACATCTGCGAAGTACATGCGCTTCGTGAAAGACTTGAAACTTAAGTTATCTTAAGTATGGAAGTATGCTTCAATTTGCTACACGACAGTTTGTAATGTTTCATGAAGAACTCTGACTCATAAGTGACTTGAATATCCATGATCATCCCAAACAAATATAATAAAGAATTCATGGTTGCAGTTCAGAATTTCGTCTGTGTGATTTTATGCCAGAGAATATGCATGGGTGTATGGTTTAAATTCTTACACCTTGAAAAACATCGGGTAAATTGTTTTCGACACACACGATGAGTTGTCGTTTCAGTAATGTGGAAGTACGTGTCCGAGAACGTGTAGTGTTCTGAATCTCGGTCCAGAACCAGTGCGACCTTATTTGATGAATGCAGGGTGTGTGTTGAAAGTACAACCATACCGCAATAGAGACGGGTTGTGTCAACATGATATACGCCGGGTAATGTAGGGGAGGGAAAAAAAATGTACGTTTAGCTGGATCAAATCCATCTTATACAGTCTACACGTTGTACACCATGAACGTTAGACAACCTGTATAGAAAAAAATATAGACAAAATAGATAAGACTACACAATCAGCAAGCTAGCAGTGTCGTTTAATTACATTTAGCGCGCAACAACGAGGTAGTCACGTCACCCTGCATTGACTATAACGCTGAAGGCAGCCGGATTTCGAATCACCCACGCTGCGTACTATTGTGAACCATTTGTAAAGAATTATTCAGCCCTGTCCCGACTTGCATAGTTGATGTTTCAATGCTAGCTTTTCCATTTAACGCAATGACAAATAAGCCCTACGGTTTGAGTTTTAACCGTGTAACATGCTATTATGAAAATAGATAGAAAACTGATAAGTACATGTAGCAGTGTGACGGCACGAAGCTAGGTTTGTTGGGAAAGTGATGGAAGCAATCTATAGGACATTTTCATGTTTACAATACTCACCCTTAATTCGAAGAGAGAACAGAGTTTATCATGGAAAATTGTTTGACAAGGAAAATGTTTTATTGGAAATATATGTCGAAGCAGTTTTATTCATAGCTAATGTATAGCAGAGAGACTAAGCGACCGACCGCCCATAACAATGTCTACATACCCCGGCCTTACAATAAATGTCAACATACCAGCCTCGCCTGAAGCTTCCCATTCATAAATTGTGTGACCAGTGTCCCGTATTCATGATATGTTAGGGAAGATGTGTTGTACATTTGTTAATTTAAAAGGGAGTTATTTCAGAGAGGATATATATGGGTATTCCCCCTCATTAAACTTTTCTTTCGTTGGTGTCTATTAAACCTATCCGGTATTTAATACATTTGAATGATGTAAGAAAGTATGTGCATGTAGATGTTGTACCTATATCCGAACACGAATGTATGACACCTTTCAATAGATCAATTACGGTTCTAACCACGACACGCAACATGACTATAAGCGTGGTTAGCAGTTCATATTTATAAACACATTGTAAATGACAGATTTCTGATGAATGAACTCGCCCGCACACATGTCTATAGGGTTATGTTCGCCCGAACTGTAAACAGTGACACATTGATAACAGGAAGGGTGTGTGGAATGCACTCGTCCTTGTAAGGGTAAAATACGCGTTTAAACTCACCATTTAAACGATGACATTACTTTTTAGATGTATTGGTATCAGTGAGTGAGTGAATTTAGTTTTACGCCACACTCGGCATTATTCCAGCTCTAGGACGGTGGTCTGTCAATAAACGAGCTTGGACCAGACAATCCATTAATTAACAGCATGAGCAGCGATCTGTGCAACTAGGAACCGATGGCACGTGTCATCCGAGTCGGCGAGACTGACCAACCGATCCCCGTCAGTCGCCGATAAGCATGGGTTACTGAAGGTCCATTCTATAACCCGGACCTTCACGGGTGTAGTATGACGAAGACAATATACTAATATGATCGAAAACTGAGAAAAAACAAACAATTCATTCGTATCATTTATTGATTCGAGTCAATCGGTTCCATACAAAGCCGTGATATACGAATGGACAATAGTATTCACTCTGGAACATTATTTAGTCACTCATATACACCTGCTGCTGCTGCTCGAAGGCCCTATTGTTTAAACAGCGAGTCCATGTTTTGAAACACATTTCGCACTGTTGAATGTTTCCTTTTCTACGCTGTTTTAAGGTTGAATGGTTGTCTATAGTCTATGCTTTATCCATTGCTTGTAACGATTTCCGTCCAGGAGGTCCCAGTTTCACAATTCCTCTCACGTAGAGGGAAATTCGGCGTGGTCTCTTATACGAAGTGACGCCATATCTCCATCAGCAACTTGGGAGCTTATAAAGCAACTTCCAACAGAATTTGTCTCACGTATGGGCATAATGCCACTGGATGATCACTTAGCGCCGGTGTCATTCGGATAGGACTCAGAACTAAAAGTCATGGGGGTTTCGAATAGATCCAGGTTACTTAGTATAAGGTGATATACACACCGGATAATCGAGTATGTTACCAGACAGAAACCAAATCCCTTGTACACGTAAACCGTAAATAACGTAGTTTGAAGCCAGGCGTATTATACCAAACAACCATTCCTCCGGACTCCAAAAAATCAATGAGCTTAACAATTTAACCATCGGAGAAGATTGCTTGTATTTTTGTTTGAAACGTGGCTCATTGGGTTAATGTATCTGCTTGAAAATCCTATGTTTAAAGTACCCCATGTTCCCGCGGCAAAGGTGTTAAAGCCCCACCCTGAATATAAATAGCCCGCAAGGTGGAGGTGTATCAGTGTCGAACAGTGACTGACAATGTAGACACAACCGAGTGTCGGGAGAAGCTTTTTGAAAACCATACGGGAACCAGATCACCAAAGATCGTCAAATTTCTTATCAACTTGAATGACAAACCATGTATACAACAAATGGCTCCATATCAAGATATAAGTCAATAAATTTTCTACAAGTGGAAACTGGACTTTTATGAAATCAGGTAACACCTTTGCCGCGGGAAGATGAAAGTGCACCTGCGGCTAAACTGATTGTGATCAATCAACATTGGCGTTCTCCGTGACACCAGTTTCACCGTAGTGGTAAACGTCTGAGACCTGCATCACTTCGGGCTTTCATCCAACATTAAGTTGACACGCCGCGTTATAACTGGAATAATGTTATAAACCCAACTCACTCACTCATTCTCCGTGACACCAAACATAGCCTGTAAACACACTTCCTTGAACTCGTATAGAGACAGAAGCGAAAGAGAAAGTAGGTCTCTATTCTCGAGGCAGACTCGTACGTTCGCCTTAAATGGTATTGCCTGCAGATATGTATCTATTATCAATTGGTGTAGTTCCTGATAAAGTGAGTGAGTTGGGCTTACAGTGAGTGAGTGAGTTGGATTTAACGCCGCTTTTAACAGTATTCCAGTTATATCGCGGCGTGTCAGCTTAATGTGGGAGGAAAGCCCGAAGTGATGCAGGTCTCAGACGTTTACCACTTCAGTGAAACCCACGAGCACGGGCATGGTGCTGACAAACCTAGAAACATAATCGGGGCGAACCGGGATTCGAACCCACAATCATAGGTTTCTGTCGTGCCCAAGGGACGCAACCCAAATCGCGGCGCCTTAGACGACTGGGCCACCCGTGCCCCCAGGTGGGCTTAGATAGTATATCACAACAACCTGTTGAACAACTTGTCAAACAGCTCCCTGTCAGGTAGCTCTACCCAACAGCTAGCAACAAACCTTCCAAACCTTTCATTAGAATATATTAATCTAACAAAGATTTGAATGAATTACGAACTGTCTTTTTTTTTGTCACACACATACAAATAGGCTTAACTGGTGGCGAAATTTTGACATGCATGTCATTGTTGGCTAGTGAAAAGAAGCCAACCTCTCAGTTGATTTTATCATATGTTTGATTTTCGGTTTATAAAATCGATATTACAAATCGATATTATGTTAGCAAAGTAACCGCACTGGCGCTTAGTCGGCACGCACAGAATACCTCTACATGGTTTTATGTTCTTGAATATCATTCTATTTAAAACTTTTAAAATGTTAGGAGAAAGGAGGCGAAGGGCAAGGTACAAGTCTAGGTCTGTCCGACCTATTTCCGTGAAGCGAGCCCGCCTGTCAAGAGATATTGGGACAGGCCTACGTGCGGGAAGCGTTGACCCAGTGTACCTGCGGCGACGTGGTTCATGTTTTGTGCACGGTGCAACCGCATGTTGCGCAGTCAGCATTTTTTTATTGGCATAGTGTAAAGTATGGAATGGAGTTTTGATTGGAATACTGGAATGGAATCTGGAATGAAACAAGTGAAACATACCCTATTTACAAACAAGTCTCCAATTTAATATGCTAGGAGATGAGGGTGACACACGGTCACATATGAAGAAGTGACGCATTATGACACACATTCAGATTAGTCACCCATATATTATCTACTGTAAATGATCGATTCCGGACCAGGCATTCGAGTGTTTGTTTGTTTGTTGTTTAACGCCGCAGTCAGCAATATTCCAGCTATATGACGGCGGTCTGTAAATAATCAAGTCTGGACCAGACAATCCAGTGATTGACATCATGAGCATCGATCCACCTAACTAAGATACGATGGCATGCATGAACCAAGTCAGCGAGCCTGACCACCCGATCCCGTTAGTTGCCTCTTATGACAAGCATAGTCACCTTTTACGACAAGCATGGGTTGCTGAAGACCTATTCCAACGGCCAGCCAGTGACAGAAAGCATGGGAGAAAATCCACACTTTCAAAGCAGAATGACACACTTTCAGATTAGTCACCCATACATTCTGCCTGTGTGATTCAACAAAGTAGTAAACATCGACGACATTCGCAAAGAAAAACGTTAAAGGCCGGGATCCAAACATGAAAAAAACCCATGGGTTTCCAATTAGCATCTGATTGGCTACTTCTCTGCTGGGAAGATCTTATCTGCCTGTGACAGACAGGACTGTAACGGCTATTGGAGCCAGGCAGGGTCAAAGGTGAAGCATGGAATTTACTACAAAAGTAAACACAAGTGGTTCATAGTAAATTTTGAAATGTGAACTTGAGACTAAAATCCCATTTAAAGCATACAGCATTAAGGTTTTCAGTAAAAATGATAAGGCTAACACAAATCTTTGCAACATATCATCTTTTATATAT